TTCTGATTCTTCCAAATTGACTATAGAAGAGGAAAATAGAAATCCAATGAACACTACTAGGGTTTTTTTTTATCCTAGTCTTTTAGTTTTGATTTTTTTCCTCTATGTCCTTTTTACCTTGTTTTTTTTTCTTACATTTCTGATCATTTTTGAATGTTTTTGGCCCGTTTGTCATCTCTTTTATCTCTTGCAATGGTTTTTCTCAATCAGTCTAATTTTTTTATCATTGATAAATTGCCTTTGGGGTGGGGCCTCAGTGGCTCAACCTTTTTTTGGAGTCTCTGAGGGTGCCATATGGCGACGACTCCCATTTCTAGTTGGACGACTCCCGTCTTTTTTAACATAGAAGAAAAAGACAAAAAAGGGGTGGAATTGGTGTGACGACTCCCTTGTTTAGGTGGACGACTCCCGTCAATTTAAATATAGAAAAATGCGAAATTTTGGGCGGAATGAGTGCGACGACTCCCGTACTTTAGTCAGACGACTCCCTTAAATTTAAATATAAAAAAATGCGAAAAATTAGGCGGAATTAGTGCGGCGACTCCCGAACTTTAGGCGGACGACCCCCATTGTTTTGAATAAAAAAATAAAAAATCTCCAGGAAAATTTAGTGCAACGACTCCCTATGTTTTTTCGGGAATTGGAAGGACGACTCCCGTCCGACGACCTCCCGACCAAAACGGGAGTCGTCAACTAAAATTTGGGAGTCGTTTTTCCAACCCCCTTCTTTTAAATAATAATAAATGATCTTGAAGAAATTTTTACCGAAGACAGGGAGAATTTTTGGGCAACAAAAAATTAGTTTTGATGGAAAGGCTCAAGGGTCAAAAAAAGAGGGAGAGAGCCAATGGTGTTTTACTTAGAGGAGAGTAGGCGTTAAGTAGTCTACATACAAGAGGTTAAACATGTGGGTGAGAAGAAAAATGAATATTGAAATGAATAACAATTTGACACATGCATGAAAAGATGACAGGAGCAAATAATCATTGATAAAGACTAGACCCGGGTTCAAAGACTACAGGGATTGCAGCACTAGACAATGAAAAAGGTGCCACTCAGACACTTACAAGGCACAGTAAAATTAATAATTTTTCATCTAAATATCATTGAAACAGAAAGGTGTAATAGAAGGATTTTTTAGGGATGAGAAGAAAGAGGCAAAATTCCAACAGATCTTGTTTGATAAAGGGCTTACTAATGATAAATAATGTTGATTGTTACTAATATCAATTGGGGATGAGGAATGTTATAATGATTTTGATGAATGATTCTACTGAATTTGTTTTCTGATTCCTATTGCTAGCTTGCTACCTAATAACTACTCAACTACTAAATACTAATCACTAATAATAATTACTAGCACTACAGAACACTCCTGGTAGCTCAGGATCAACTCCTGCTCTGAGAGACTGTGTGGATGATGGGGGGATAAATTCTGAGATTAGGGGAAATATTCCCTCCTTTGATATTAATTTTTGAGGGATTTTTGCTGCAGGGGAGCTTCCTTAGTGCCCTAGGTTTTGCTGGTGAACTTCATTTTTTTAGGTATGTGTAATCTGTTTCCAGGTAAATAAGCCTTCTTCTTGGCTGTAACCAGACAACAAGCCTCTGTCTCCATGATGCAATGTTGTTTGCTGTGTAGCCAAATCCTCTGTATCCATTCCTCCATAGCATTTTCTGTGTACCTAAGCCTCCATATCCATGCTGTCATAAAATTTTGCTGTGTAACCAAGCCTCTGTATCCATGATGTCATAGTTTCTGCTGTGTAACCAAGCCTCTGTATCCATGGTGTAAGAAAAATGACCTGTATAGCCTAGCTGCTGTATCCATGATTTCATAATCTTTCCCTGGAGACCCTTGACAACCAGCTGTGTCCCTCTGATGTCATATCTTTGGTTGTAGTAACCAAAAAATCCTCCTGAATACCACCTGTTGTACATTTAGTGTCCAAGCTTATGCAACATTCTTGTTGGTGTTTACACAAGTATAGATCACCACACTGCTGAGAGTACACTCTTGATGGCCAAGAGGAATCCTCTCAGCCATTGAGACTGAGTGTATACACTCTCAACGGCCAAGTGAAACCACCTTGGCCATTGAAATGTGCACCCTCAATGCTGAGATGTACACTCTTGTCCTTCAAGAGTGTACACCTTGATGGCCAAGAGGAATCCTCTTTGCAGTTGAGGGTATAAACTCTCAACGGCTTAGGGAAACCACCTTTTCCGTTGAAATGTGCACCCTTGATTATGGGAGGTTAATATAACTCTCTACTAGGCTACAGTAGTGAATGAAATGTAGTAGAGGCCGCGGGTTATCGCCAGATACAGGGAGGTAGATCT